ACGCATGGCATAACCCTTATTATTATTTTAACTATAGCTTCATGAAATCAATGTCTCTCAATCAAAACCCAACTTCTTTTTGAGCCCTAGAACTGCTTCATGGGCCTAGAATTTGTCAAACAAAGACTTAGAGACAGTCTCCCTTTCCATGCACCTGCTTGCCCATGCCACAAGCCTAGGGCACTCGGCTTCCATGCTGAAGTTTCCAAAGGCCTCAAATGAATGGAAAAAGCTGGAGAATGCAATCAGAGCTAAGTCTACAAAGCTAAAGGTTTCACCTCGGAAATATGGCTTCTCTCCAAACTCTTCTTCCAATGTTTTCAAGTTTTCTACCAGTTCCTTTTCTGCCTTCTTGCCTTCGTCACTTGCTGATGTCCATAACTTGCTTCCAATTGGGAAAATCTGCGTACACAATCCCTTCTTACTCATAAAATCATCCAAAAATAATGCTAGTGAGACTTAAAAAAAAAAAAAAAAGCCCAGTATTTTTAAACGATAATTTAACAAATTTAACCCCAAGATAATTAAATGTCATTTTTCTCAAGAGATGAATTTATAACTCATCTGAAATCGTAGGATCTGTTTGTATAGTTTACTTAATAACGAAAAGATGTATAGTTTACCTTTTGGTCGATATAATTAGCCCAAAACCTGGCATGAGCTCTCTGGTAATGATCAGGAGGCAGCAATGGGGAATCGTGATTCCAAACCTCATCAATGTATTCAACTATGATGAGTGATTCACATACGGGTCTTTCCTTGTGAATCAAAACTGGGACTTACTTATGAATGGGGTTCATCTTGAGAAGCAGTTGGCTCTTACTGTTGAACACATCCTCTTCCTTTGTCTCATATTCCACTCCCTTCTCTGCCAGAGCTATCCTCACTCTTGTGGCATAAGGGCTAGGCTGAAAATTCAGGAGAACAACTTGCAGGTCTGCCATTGCTAAGCAACCTAATTAAGCTGCTTCTTTCTTTGTGATGGTATTTGTAGAGTTTCTTTTTGGTGCAGTGTCAAGGCAAAGGGAACTGCGTCCTATTTATAGCTATTCTCATGGAAGCCATTGCTCGTCAAGGTCTCGGATGGAGGCAGCCGACAAGTTCTGATTCCTACATTCACTGTCTTGATAACTAATCAATATTGTGAACAAAGTTTGAGGAATCCGGTTTTGTTGCCGAAAACTTAGCAGTTTGTCAACATGTAAGCATTGCTTATCATCTGACAGAAAGATGAATGAACAGAGGGACAGTGGGATTAATTCTATTATGTAATTGTTTTGGCATTACCTAAAAATTATCTAGAAATTTTAAAATTAAATAAGAAGGTTTAAAAATGGAAGATAATTATTTCCATCACTGATAGACCAAAAAATATAATATAAACGTGACTATAAACATTGACCAAACCACCTCAATTTGTTTTGGTCTTAAGTCTTAATCCATATAATTGAATGCTAATCTATCCCTTAATTATTGAGTTCTAACCAAAATTCGTTAATGAAATTCTAGGATGGAATGACTAATAATGCATCCAAGATGAGTTGTTGAAGTGAAATTCTTAAAAGATAATATAATTTACCCTTCATCGTAATGTACTTTTTAGGGTCCAAATGTCCTTCAAAATGTGCAATTGATGACCAAATAAAATGCATATAACTCTCAAAACGTGCATTAATTACACGTTAATTCACATGTATTACATTAATCCGACCATTAATAGAGTCAACGTCCACTCCAATCAACAGTTTATGTTCCGAAATTGATGAATTCAATCTTATGAAAATCAGAGAGTGCAAAGGTCAGTTTCCCTCTTGTTCCAAATAAATAGGCAAACGCAATAACAAAACCATAGCATCTAAAGTGGAGACTGATAAGAAAATGGAAGACTCCATAATGCTTACAACCATACTACACGGGGTATTTAACTCATTTCATAGAAATACATACACAGGGAATTAACTATCATCCCACCACATTTTGATGGCTAAATTGTAATGCTTCCATAAAATCAAGAATATTGTTTTTTTTTTCCAAAATAGATATCGTACAAAATGAATAAGATTCCTCGCTTCTCTGCCAAAAAAACCAACTTCAAGGCCTCCAAGGTCAAAACTTAATGCTATATATATAAATATATATCAACTCAGCCCTTTCATCTCAAAATCAGTCAATAGGGCATTTACCATCACCATGTTGCAATCTCCCACCATTGCCGGAAGTTGCCTAATGAGACGGTAACATTCACTAAAACACCAATTAGTATTACAGATTATACACCACGATATTCCCAGCAACAAGACCACAAAAAGCATTGCCAAGAATGGACCTTATTAGCCATGACGTCTCATCTATGATTTACCAGGAACCTAGAATAACTGAATCTTGAGGAAGATTGAAAAGTTATTTGCTTCAATACCGGCCAAGTTTCTCAAGGACCCATAGTTTCTCGTTTTGTTTGGCTAAAAGATTGGAGACGTTTGATAAACTCCTCCTTCAGTGACTCCGGTATTTGTGGAATAAAAGTTGGCTTTGCATCTGCAATCAACTTCTTCCTGCATACAAGTAGTAGTAGCAGTAGTGAAGACATGAATCAAAATTTCCCATTTTTAAAATGTAATAACACTAATACAGTAATAAGAGGAGGGGAATTGTCGGCCAGCAAAGTAGAATATGAAATTAAAAAAATAAATTAGTTTTCGATACTGCATATAGCAAAGGAAATAAAAGGCCTTTCTTTTAATGATTTAACAAAATAAATGCAAATGCCCTTAGGAGGGTACTCAAAGGAAAAATAACACAAACTTACTGTAAATATAAGCAGGGGCGGAGCGTCCCACAGTTATGGGAAATTTTTAAAATTTTTTATATATTATATATTTTTGATGACTTTCTTAAAATAATTTTTATTAAATAATCAATACAAATAAAAAAATAATAAAATGATCGTATCATGGGGTTATGATCTTCTAAAAATTTCAAAATATTTTATTTGCTAAATATATTCCTCCATCCGTAAGTCAGTATATTACTAGTTATCATATAAATTCTAACCCAATATGCTAAGCCTATCAAATTTTAAAAAATAAAAACGAGTCTACTAACCTAAACCACTAAATTTTAATATAAATCTAAGTTTATCCTAACATATTATATCTTAACAGTCTAGCTTAATAGCCTATCACAACATATTATATCTCAACAATTCAACTTAATAGCCCAATATGTTAATTTGCAATTCAAGAAGCAAATAAAAAATAAGGAGAGCTTTCTCAAAAAACTACATATTTCATGTAGAACAATAAAATAAAAAACAATACATTTGAGTTTAAAAAATTGTTTTCTCTTTCACTCTTGCACATAAAGAGTAAGAAAGACTTCTTCTATAATTTCACTCGATTATATATATATATATATATGACAACATCATTACTATTAATATGCATTTTTTTGTATGTTCAATGTCTTATCAATTTTATCTAATCTTTTAAATGATAAAAAATTAAATTATATATAAAATTCTCTTTAACTGATAAGTGTCTCTTTCTGTGTGACCTCCCCTTTAAAAATGCTTTAGCTCCGCCCCTGATTATAAGGGACACACAAATGGAACTCCTCAATTAAAGGGAATGAATGCAAATGTACACACATAGCATCCTTTGTCAAAGCCAACATTACATCTGAAATTGTCCAATCACCCTAAACAAACACATTCTGAAGAATGCTTGCATCCCTTTTGCAGACAAGTTAAATATTAAAGCTCACTGGAAAAAGGATGCCAATGACATGCCAGTTGGTTGAAACGACCCAGTATCAACCCCAAAAGCATAAAAGCCTATAAATATGAGGTCCGAGCATAGCTAGTTCCACACAGCAAGACTTCTCTCTCTCTTTCTAAGTGTCTGGGCCTGTATATGTGTGTATCAGGGAATTATGGCTTGTACCCATAGATACTCTGAGAGGTTATTTTTTGGGCATCTCCTCCTCCCTATTCTTTTCTTTCTTTCTAAGTCTCTTATGGCTTCCTCCCTTTCCTTCTGTTGTTTTCTTGATCTCTACTTTCTCCCGCTTTCCCCACCCTCACTCTGCATTTAATTATCTTGAAACCAAAACTAAACGCTCACATAAGACAACTACTTCTATCCCACATCACCAATTGCATGATTCGAACAATTCACCTCCCTGCCATGCTCATCTTGCATTGTGTTTCCAATTATCCGATTCCCTTTCCAGCCACTACACCTGAGCTCCTTAAGAATTGAGGACTCCTCCTTAAAGAGTTTTTACTTCTCAAGCCCTCTCCCATTCTATCACACATCATTCTTGCAAAACTGGAACTCACCCGAACTAAATATTAAAAGTAAAAAAGGGAATGCACATATTAACAATCTATTTAGTTTTAGTCCCAACCAATAGCTAATAAATATAGGTGAAAAAAAACCCTTTAAACTCAATGTAATTGTTAATCGAAAAAGGTCTAATTAGGCATTTTGCTTGAATTGGATATATTGGGGTTTCAAAAACAGCGGCTGAAAGCACTTGTTGACTGAAAAGGTAATATGGGCAGAAAACTCTGAATCCAATCAGCGTTGTATTTGTGGTCCTAACCAGGATTTGGGAACCTAAATCCAAAGCCAAATCAGCCCTAGGTTGTTAAACTGAAAAACCCCTTGCCTTTCTCCATAAGTATGTTTCTGCAGCGAAGTTTGTCAAACCTACCAACAATTTAGAGCAATTTTGATAGAAATCTATAGAGAATCAAATGCAAGCTACATCAAAGTGCCTAAATTCCTAAAGAAAATCATGCATATTTGAAGTGAACATAGAATTAAATTATGCATACATAGACATGTTACATAACAGTTTAAGAAAGGCTTACTCTAAATCATTGCCACTCGGGGTGCTTCCAATCTCCAGTGCGCACAACTTCTTCCTCGAATACATGAAACTGTAAACAGTATCATACCAGCCACACGATCGCAAAACTGAAGAAGCTTCTTTTTCCAACCTGGTAAATATTGCATCAAATTGAAAACATGCCACAATAATAGGGTCGTTAAATGAATAAAAAAGCAACTCTTGACACGTTAAACACAACCATGAATAGCATAATGGTAAAGAAATCCCATGTAACTAGAAAGTATTGAGCGAGTGGGGGAATCGATTTTCTAAAACTTAGATTTGTCAGATGCGGTACAACATAAACAAGCAAAGATAACTATTTTGATATATGTATCAATAAAGCATATAATCAGACTAACAAGCATTTGATGATAATCCAACTAATTGAGAAACTAGTTCACAAAAGTGACATGCTCATCTATGCAAGTTAACGACAGCAGGGAAGGGGGAACAGAGGACACCTACTTGCCAAGCGACTTGTAATACAGATTGTAAAAAATAAGGTGTGATTAAATCCATAACTCATAAATCAGCGAAGCCATACCCTAGTTTTAACTAATTAATCTCACAATTTAGAGAGATTTCAGCCATGAATAAATATGAAAAACAATGATATTAAAAGAAAGGCAACCTCATAATTACAATCAACTAACATGAATCACCTAGAGAGTAATCAGCATATATTATACCACAAAAGGCATCTCTAAAGAAATAGGGATAGAATGTAGCATACATTTCTTTCATATTTTCTACTTCTGCACGAGATTGAGCATCTTGGGACAGCAAAATGCAGGAATTTCCCATTGGCCGGGAGAAATCTGAGGAGTCTTTTGATTTTCTCTTTGGCCCTGAGTTAACACTGGAGTCTGTTGGTTTTGTCATTGGACCTGAGTTATCGCAAGAGTCTTCCGATTTTCTATTTGGTCCTGAAATATCACAAGAGGGTTCTGATTTTCTCTTTGGCGCTGAGATAACACAAGAATCTTCTGATTTTCGCTTTGGCCCTGCAGTATCACAAGAATCTTCTGATTTTCTCTTTGGCCCTGAAATATCACAAGAGATTTCTGAATTTTTCCTCCGCCCTGAGTTATCACAGGCATCAACAAGAGCAGTATCAACCTGCCCTCTGACTGCCGTGCTCCTAGTACCATTAGCTACAAAAGGATCTGGTCTTATAGGATTTCCATTTGCCAATGCCAGGGGTTGGCTTTTTTCACTACCAACAGCATTAACTTTTCTGCTCTTTTCTATACTGTTTCTGTTCATCAATGAAAACATATCGTTCTCATTCTTCTCCATATGAATTGAATCCTTTAAAACTCCATTCATAGTTATGTTCTGAGTCTTATAAGAGTCAACTTTTCCATTATTTGTAACAGGAAGCTTTTTGGAACCAGGTTTTTCAGAAATATTGAATTTCACACGGGGGCTTGAAGACAGCTTTACAACCTTATCCTTCCGTGAAGACTGTTCAACGCAAAGTTTTGCTTGGACTGGTTTCAAAGGAATAGCTTTTACGATTTTGGATGCCTCAGTTCCATAAGAATCCCGTGGTTTAACTCCATTGGAAGAAAACGTGGTAATGAAAGACCCTGGCCTTTGGTTAGCACGAGAAAAGAACAGAATATAAACCTTCTCTGACAAAACCTCCTGCAGGGTTGAAAGTGAGACAAACGCATCATTGCAGCAATACCACCTGCCCATTGCATCCTTTACAAACAGTGAACTAATGTCAGCAACTATTCAATATCGCTGCATTACAGCATACATATAAAGTGGAAAAAACAGGATAGCATAAGCACCTTGATATATGCATAATAGTGCCCAGATTCTGGTGAGTATCCTGAGTGCACAATAGTACCAAATAGGTTATACTCTGGTTGTGCATCCTGCATTAAAAATAACAAGAAAATTTTTAAAAAAAATCAGAATACAGGGATATATTGCATAGAACAAGTAGAAGGCATTACTTGGTACAAGATAACAAAGAAAATGTTCTGACTGTATCACATTCTACTGGGTAGAAACATGCAGAAATAACTCAAACAAATCATGCCTCCTTGTCAATCAATCACTAGCATTCACTTTGCTTCATCTAACATAAGGGCGATAAACTTAGACGACATTGCTAACCAACCAATGACATGAGTGAAGCATATAGAATATTGATTAGAAGAAGCACTAACCACTAAAACATACCTGTTGTCTGTAACAAAGTCCAAGGCTATTTTTTCCATTCACCAAGTATAAACAGATATTTGAGACATTCAAGCACTCATGATGATCCTAGAAATGCCAAACTATAAATACTGCTAGCAAGCACATTAAGATGCTATAATATTTCCCAATCATTAGGTCACATAGCTAGTCTACATAAGCAAATATGAAGCTCATAAGATATTAGCGCTAATATCACATCTACAGCACTCTCACGGCAGCAAGCCAGTAACTTGATTCAGCTTGATAAGATTATTCAGCTTGTGCTAGTCTGCTGCTCCATCTTCCTTTACCATTATGCTCATCTAAGCTTTCTAATTGGTTATCTTCTTTCAGTCAGCAGAAACCCACCCCCATCCTCCACAACTTTGAATTCCATATCATCCCATCCTCACTTTCCCTCCATTGTCACCATAACTATCACTAGTCATCTAAACATGCGTGCAAATATTTACAGCTTCTATCTTAGTGAAAGTAGAAAGACGACAACAAAGGGTGATGCAATGACAGAGTAATGCATGGGCAAAAAACAGGTATATGTCTGTTTTACTTTTAATTGCACAAACAAGTATATGCCTTCTTTGCTTTTGATTGCATAGGTTAGGGTAGAAGTTGACAAAGCAAGCTAGAATGGCCAAGAGAGTTAAAATGCTATGGTATGAATAAAGACGACAACAGCAAACAACAAAGTGCCATGTCCAAAGTTCTACGTACATCTGATGCTTTTAATTCTAAGAATAAAAGTTTGAATCATTAGACAACTGTTCAGGTATATTGTACAAAACAACTTGCAGTGGAAAAACATTTATTATTATAGGAAGCTAAACAGCAATATTGCAAAAAACATAATACAAACAAATCTTTTAGAAAGTTTTTGGCAATGATACTGCACAAAATCTCCATTGAGGAGCATTTGGAAAGCAGTGTTTCCTAGCAAACTATTCTTCCCGTTTTGCCAGCAGCATTATCTCATATTGTTACTTTCGAAACCAGCTTATATAAACAGAAAATCTTATTAGATGCTGCTTTTGGTCAAGAGTAAAGGCTGATCACCTCTTACTACATTGTTCACTAACTAAATAAATCAGTGCTCAATTACTAGAAAAAGCACAGTACTTTTGTTCTTTTGGCACATGTCAGTGTTAAATGAGAGATGCATAAAACAGTGATAGAATTACTCGAGTTAGCAAGGCTTTTGAGGTAAAGGCCTATGCATTGCCGATCGGAGAATGGAGCCACTATGCTGGCTTTGATGTTTGCACTTCTATTTGGACCATGGAGATAAAATCTTACATCAATTATCATTCATTTTCCTAGTTTTCCTCAATGTGAGCTTTAGTTTCTCTAGATCATTTTTGAAACTCATTAAAGTATGATTTTTCAGTGCCAGTTCGTTTTATTATTTCTTCAACCTCCTCTTTTTCTATTTCTTTAGGGTCTTATCTAGTACACCCCCTTTACACATTGTGCCCCACTTAGGCACTCTTTACAAGCCTTACTATTTATTGAAAGAGAGCATTAGTCTCTAATACTATATTTAAGAATCTTTTGACACAAAATAAATGGTATATTCTCATTATAGGCTAATGGCACAACACTCATTAAAGTTTCTTCTTAACTAGAGAGAATCCTTCACCATTCTTTCTAGCCATTGGTGGATTCTACTAACAGTGCAATTGTAATTAGCAAACATTAAAATGGTATTTGTTGCACTTCTCTAAACCCAAGCTTCCTGAGGCAAGCAGAGAAATGCCTCCTTGATCCAAAAGGATTTTAAAGACTCTCTCCCTTCACATTGTATTATAGGCCATCCCAATTAAACTGAACTCTATAATCCACCTTTTTTTTTTATATCAAAAGTGATCCTATCAAGAAGCAGAGTTGACATCTAGTCCCTAGATGACCAAAACTGGTAAGAAGAACAGCAAGAGCTTGATAATAGTTTAGTCCATTAAAAGTTAGCAATGACAGTTGGAGTTTTCAACTTTACTGCTAATTCCACCGCAAATCGTTCAAAGGGAAAAAAAATCATGGAGTTATAGAGCTGTAGTGTAACAAGAATTACTTTTACACAACCCCATCATGATATTAAAACTATTTAAATAAAGAAAATGGCACAAATTTATGTATTGGAAGATTAGACCTCATTGTCCCAGCTATTTACATTATTTCTTAGGAATTCATTTATATCATCATATGCAGTGATATTATTAGTTAACTTGTAACTCCTATAATATCATTACCATTCACCAAGTTAAACTACATTTCTAGAATTCATAAATGCTAAAAATATAACTCATACCAACAAACAAATGTATATGTTGAGTTAGCAACTTAACACACCTGGCTTGCTTTGCACATGAAGCTTGAAAGAACCAGAACTTCTTCAAATGAAATGAGCCTATCAATCTTCCCACCAAGTATTCCCTCAAATCTCTGCCACAATGATCCAACAATCACTCCTTTACCCCAAAACCAATAAAACAACTAACTAAGCAACTAGAATATGGCAATGGAAACCAAGGTTAACAATTTAAAGAAATACCCGTAACCTACCTTCAATTGAATAACAAGGATATTTGGTGCTTGACGTATAGACAATTGCTTCCTCGCTGCCACCAATTTCTTACAACTAAACAACCGTAAGTTTCTCATTCAAAAACACCCAAAAAAAAAAAACAAAACAAAACAAAAACCAAAGTGTTTAATCAGACTCAAGTTGGTTGTTACTTTTTGTTTCTTGCTTTATGCTATTTGTTTTTCTCTTCCTAAAAAGTTGATATAAAAGGGAAACAATAATAAAATACAAAAACATATTAGATTAAAAGTGAACCAATGACTAACATATAACACCAACTCTAACATAATTATGTCATAGAAAAAACGCTAAAACCATATATTTGTTCCCTAGAAAACTACATTACTATTTTTTAAATTCTTCCTTTGCATTCCTCTTCTAAAAGTAAAAGCATGTAAGAAAGCAACATCAAACCCCAGTAACTAAACAAAATCAGGCTCCGTTGATAATCCTTTTGCTACTTGCTTCTTGCTTTTTTTTTTTTTTTTTTTGGGGGGGGGGGGGGGGGGGGGGGAGGAGTTAGGGGAAAACAAAAAATAGGAACTACAATTATAATTGAAAAAAATGACTATTCTAAATATTCTTCAAAAATATTCTTTGTTTTATTCAATCTTGAAAGCAAAAGCAAGTCACAAAACCAAACAACACGATACATTAACAAATTATAATTTAATTAAGTTGAAATGTGAACTTACTTGTCACACTTGTACTTATTATTTCCATCCAAAATCTCAGGCTGAAAAAACTTATGCATGGCTTCTTTAAGTGAAGCACTGTTCAAAACATCAAGGCTAATATCCATAATCTCATCAACTTTATTTGACTCCCCACCACACCCCAAACACTTCACCTGACTTTGCAAAGCACCCCCAAAGATCTCCTTAACTACGGTATTGCCATTCATCGCTTCTCCTCCTCCTCCTTCATCCTTCCCTTTCGCCGTAACTTCTTTAGGCGCAGACAAGTGTTATGGCAAGCATCGATTACGTACCGCAAGAATTCGTGCGCGTCTTCTTGGCGGCCGCACCGGAAGTTCTCGGCGAATATTTTAATGCAGCTTTGGATCTTGGAGGCGCGTCAAGGGTGAGATCGAGGGTTAAGGAGCGCGTAATCCAGGCTTCGAGGATACAGAAGGGGCAGTCGCGGGGTTTCTTGGAGGCGGAGGCGTCGCAGAAGGATGAGTGTTGGGAGCGGAGGCAGAAATTGGCGAGCGGTGGGTATAGGTGAGGCACTGGAGAACGCTGTTGAGGTAACAAGAGTTGCCGAGGTTTCTTAAGCCTAAGGAGGGCTTTCCTTTCGTTGTCACTGAGTAGACTCGGCTGCCAAGTCATTTGCAACTCGACAAATCCCATCAACAATGGTGGTCCTCCTTCGCCGATCTCTCATCGGACGGCCACACGCACCGCCGCAATCGCATCTCCTTTCTAATTTTTGAGGAAAATTTGCCCTCAAAACAAAATTTTCCTTTTCCCCTTTGCGACAGCCTTTCAGAGTGAGAAAAATCTCGCAAGGGTTCGTTGCTTCATTTTTTATAATTTTTTTAAAATGTTTTTCCTGAATTATTTGATCGTCTCAACTCTGACAAGTCTTGGTCTACGATGTTGGGCTCCTTTTTTCTTTTTCTTTTTTTTAAGGGCAGGGCCCTTTGTTTTGTTTTTCTGAAGAAATTTGAATGGGCTTGTGGTAAAAACTAAATTTTATTGTAAATTATATTTCAGTTAAAAGAATAAATATAAGGTAAACATAATATTATGAAATTTAATTTAAATAAATTAATATATAATTTTAATCTAATTTAATTTATATTCAAATTTAAATATATAAAATTAAATTACAGTTATCATTATCGTACGATACATTATATGTATCGTATAATATGTCACAATATAAATAAAAAATAATATGTATTTATAATCGTATCATATTTAATTAAGTATTGAAAACGTATCATATAATACGTTATATGTATTTTATAATACGAAATATATTATACATATAATCGGTATATTTTTTTTATAAATTTAATTTTAATTAATTATTAAAAAATTTATTTTTTATTATTTTTTTGAGTTGAAACATGAAAAATTATATTTTATGAGCTCTATTCTTTAGATTTTAAACAAAAAAATATTAAAAAAATCAAATTCTCTTTTAATTTTAACATGATAAATATTTTTAATTAATAAATTAATATAAAAATATTTTATTTAAAAAATTATATTATTAAAGAATATGTTAAAAGTTTAAATTAAAAAATAATTATTTTTTCAATTTACATCCT